GGTGGTTACAGATAGTGTGCGTGCCCTGTATCATGTTCGGGATTGGCTTCAGCATCCTATTGGATGAGGGTGTAAACTCTGCCGTGGATGGGAGGTCTGACCTGATTCTAATTTCATGGGCACTCTTTCGCGTAGTGTTGGGTGCTTCCACATATGCGACATGTATTGTTGAGGCAATAGCAGGGTCAGTATCCATGATCCTTGCCACAGTGCTGGCAAATCCTATCGCGCCCTGCTGTCGGGGCCTAAGAAGGGGCTTGAGTCACAAGTCTAGGTCTCTTATTCTGTTGAATTGGTGCAATAGGTACTGATCTGCAGTGTGGAACTGGGGGTGTGAAACTGTACACTGCTGAAGGAAATATACTAAGGTTCCTCTTTACTAGCTGTACCTTGCCTAGAACAGCTGAGTAGGTGCTGATCTCGAACATATATAACTGTTATCTGATCTCATGACACAGGCACTTTCAAACTTTTTTACCTTTCTACCTTTATCTATCATACTTTCAGGAGAATATTGGCCCAACTATAGGAACATTCGGGCATACTCTGACACTGTCATATCACATTGGATCAGGTGGACAAACTCCATTTGTTTCAAATATTGAAGATACTCTGAAAGGTACTCTACATTGAAGGCAATCAGGAATTGTTCCAAAGTGACTAAAACGGGCAGAGTAGTATGCTTCAACTGCCACCAGTAACATACTTCACCCACGAGCATGTAAGTGACAAATACAACCTTTTATTCGAGAACCATCCTAAGAGTTGTGAATGTCTTCTCTGTCTCTACTAACCAATACTTGACCTTTTTGAAAGATGATGCCATTGTAAAGGTATATGAGTTTAATCTCTTATACCTCTTAATGTAACCTGCGTCCATCATGGGTGGAACTAGATCCTGTGGAAGAGGGACTAAATTATGCTGAGGAGTGGTTAGATGGTCTTATAGTGGCACCTAGTTGTATTGTGAAGGCACTGGATTGTTTGCGGTGTCGGATGATCTGGTGGAGGAGCAAGGCCGTATCGGGGTGGCGCCAAATCTTTTTGTTGTAGAGGTGGCTCGAACTGTGGCAGGGGTGGAGGGTTAGATAACTCTCTCCTTTCTTTTTGGGCTTGTTGGGCAGAGATAATTCTCCCCATCATCTTAAATAGTCTATCGATATCCTCTTAAAATGACCCATCCTGGTCTGCTCGATTTAATGGAGGTCTTCCTCTCTTCGTATTCTTACACCTACATTTTACAAGAAAGGGTTTAATGTCGGGACGTATTCCAGTATTTCTAAATCTCTGTGTATCGAATGGTTCTAAGGAACATGACTCTGATACCAATTGTAAAAATTCCATCCTTAACAAAAAGCGAATTCATATATTAATGGTGGAATCAAATTATAA